AATGTTTTAACACAGAAATACAGTTTCTGAAAATCTGCTGTGATACACGATTTTGTAAAATCAAGTAGGCACAGTAAATCAACTCCAAAAATAGTAAAAATTGGAGAAAAGTTTCTAAACATGTAGATAAACATGTCAGAGTTTCATAAAATTGCATATTCTATCAAATATATTCAAAACACTAAATATGATTTCATTAAATATAAGCTTGTTAAAGGGGAAATCATATATAGACATATAAACATGAAACAAAATAGTATTTTCCAATTCTATTCATTTGTTTCATAGTAGAACTTAAAAACTATCAAACCAAAATATATATGTATATATATAACTATATATATACAAAATCCAAAACATGTATGTGTGTATATGATTGAGCTTAAAGTACTAACACACATAATATAAATTCCTAAACTAAATTACCCAAGCTAGATCTTGATCTTCAATAAGCTCTTCTAGGTAATCTCGTGGATGAAGCTTTAACTTGGATCTTGAACTTTGAATAGCAAGGCTTCACCGACATTCCGCCAACCTCCTTTGGATATCATCGTTGAAGCGCAATCCATCCAACCTCCAACACTAGACAAACAACATTAGTAATAAATTGTTTGTTAAACATCATCAAAACAAGAAGGCCAACAATTGTGTGTGTATAATATTAAGCTTAAGATATTAACACATAAGTATAAACCTATACAAATACTATAAACTATATACCCAAGCTTGAAGGTCTTCAATATAGCTCGACTTGGTAAACTTACGGATGAAGCTTGAACTTAAATCTTTAACTTGAATTGCATTGCTTCACTCTACTATTTCCGCCAACCTCCATTTGATATGATCGTTATGGCGCAATTCCATCCAACCTCCAACATGTTATTTATCTATAATAAATAGAAAATCACAAACACTAGACAAACAACATTAGCCATAAATTGTTTGTTAAACATCATCAAAACAAGAAGGCCAATAGGTTAGTGTAATCAACAAAAATTTGGAGGCTCCTCACCAATCTCATCTACAGGTTACAAAGAGAATTACGCGGTACCTAGGGGAACTCATAATAATGATTTGCTTCATTTTTCATCTAATAATTGTGTTACTGTAGGCTATTCTAATAGAGATTGAAGTGGAGATCATGATGATCATAAGAACATTTCTAGCAATGTTTTCAATTTTGGCCCAACTGTATTTCTTTGTCGTCAAAGAAGCAATGCGTACAGTTTCAACATATGAAGTAGAGTATGTAGCGGCGATGTCAAGCGTTTGTCAAGTAATTTGGTTGAACGTGCTTAGTCAAATTTATGTTTAAATTGACGGCCCTACAACAATCTATATTGATAATAGTCAGTAATTAATTTAACGAAAAATCTAGTTACTCATGGGAGGAGCAAGCATATTCATACATATTACCACTTTCTTCGAGACAGTGTTGGCAATAATTAGATCATGTTGGTTTACTGCAAGTGTAGATCTAGATAAAGTTACAAACATCCTTACAAAATCCTTGAAGTTTAAAGTGTTTGTCAAGTTGAAGCGTATGAGGAGAATGACGATTTTACAGAATTAGAATTTAAGGGAGATGTTAGTTCCTAATTCTAGAAGGTTTTTTATTTTGACATATTTAGAAATTGTTATCTCTAACTAAGTGTTTGGCAGCCTGATAGAAATCAGACCAGCCCAGTTTTATTTTTTAAGAAGACTAGAATTGAACCAGATAGAGAGTTGTTAAATTCTGGCCTAGTTAAGAGGTTGAAAAATAAACTAAAATAAGTTAGGCTAGCTCTGACTTAACTATTCTCAAAAACAAATTATACTAAAATTGAACTAGGTTTGAACCTGGCCCAATTTTAACCAGGTTTGAACTGACTCGGTTTTAATGGTTTACTAAAAAGAACTCTAAGAATTAGCTTTTATCAAGTTACTTATGAGTTTGTATTGATAGTTATTTAGAAGTTGGATAAAGGCTTTATCTCTAGGATATTGTGTTATCACGAAACACTGTGCATAAAAAGGCTATAACGGCAAGAAAGGCTAGAGTATAAGGTTTAGCTGTTTTTGTTTCTCTCTCTCCACATATTATATTCACTAGTATAAAACTGGGCATTAGGAATGGGGTATTAGCGACGTGAACAACCCCGTCGCTAATAACCTGTCGCCAATGTTTGCATTGGCGACGGATTCGACCCTGTTACCAATGTTTTCCCGTCGCCAATGAGAAAACATTGGCAACGGATCGCATCCATCACCAGTGAGTATTGGCGACGGATCGAATTCGTTGCCAATACTCATTGGCGACGGAAAAACATTGGCGACAGAATGCATCCGTCACCAATAAGTATTGGTGATGGATGCGATCTGTCGCTAATACTTATTAGCGATGGATCGAATCCGTCTCCAATACTCATTGGTGACGAATGCGTTTCGTCGCTAATGCTAATGTGCCCATCGTAAAAAAATTAACATTAGTGATTGATTATCCCATTGTTAATGAGTGGCCCCCACAAAAAAATTAAGAATTATTTTAATATTATTCCCTTAAATCTATAATATTTTAAAAGTAGTAAACCAAATTATGTAATTGCTACATCTAGGGATGTAAATGAGTCAAATAATTAACAAATAGTTTGATAAATTGTTCAATAACTATTCAGTCATATTCAATTCGGTAGTTCATTTAACACATTTAAGTTTGCTAACAATTAGAATTTGACCAGATGTATATTCGATTCATTTGTTTATTTGATCACATGCTATTATTTGTATTATTGCATATATGATATCATATTTGTAAGTTTTTGGCTTCATCTTTGATTAGTTTAGAGAAAATGATAAGAAAAGTGAAAATGATGAGAAAATGATAAAAAAATCAAATAATCTTAGATCTTAAATAATCTTAATCAAATAACCATTTATACTTAAGTTTTATATACCGATTTTAAGACTCAAATAATCTTAAATCTATTTCTAATTAAATTTTAATTTAAATATATACACATCATATATATAGTATAAATAAATAGTTTTTATTTATGAATATATACACATCAAGGAGGAAAATCCCCTCATTGCCACACAACACTAAGATCGTTGTTTTGGTTGTGATTTAAAAAGAACAAAGCAAAATATGCGTAACTCAGATATTTATAGAAGGGAGGAGGAGTGGGTGACATAAACTAAGTGGGATGGACATAAACTTTGGAGATTATGAACTTGCATTAAGTTGAGTGGATTAATGTTTGTAGTGTTAGTAGACCAAAAGTTTTTCTGAATTATTCTTCTTCCATTTATCAGTTTTATTTGTTCATTACTTCCGACTGAAATATAGGAACCCAAAAGTCGAAATTTTATAAATTGAATAAGTGTGGAGTGGGGAATTATCAAGCATAAGAATAATAAATATTGAGAAGGGTAAAATAGAAAATCAAAAGTTTTGACATCCATACTCTCTTTTACAAGCAGTACAGTTATAGGTATGGATTGTTAGTCTTGTAGCTGTTTGCTACAATATGTATCACATACGTCTATACCTTGACAAAAAATTTATGGCATTTATCATCCAAAGGAGTTCGAAAGGCAATTGTGAATCTTTTGAACAGGATTTTGATAAGCTCTAGAATAATGCCACACTAATCCCTGTGGCTGTGCTTAGTAGCTCAACTTTGCTTAGTCGTACATCCACCTACTGATTACGCGATGGTAACTAGCTAAACAAATGCACATTTAGCAAATTAATATTGTTAATTAAGTTGGTGGGGTGCGAACTTGCAATTGACTTCAAGAGACGCTCATGTCATCAGTACTTGTATGGCATTATGATATTGGTAGGGTGTTAGAAAATTATCAACCTATTAATGAAAAACTTGCAAAATACAGCTAGAGTGTTAATTTCGATAAATAAGATTCGTGTAGTTGAACGAAATTTTTGATAAAATAGTTTTATTTTCGCTGTTATTACGTAAGAAATTAGGATTAACTAGTGATAAAAAAAAAAACTTTACGTTTGTTTCCACTTTTTCCGACAATCGTTAGGTGACAGTATGGAAAGACCAGGAACCTTCTCGTGTAAGCTGTCCCTTTTTCACTCAAGCCTTAAGGGTAAAAAAGGGCTCAAGGTCTTAATTGTCACCAAGCAATTATTTTTCTCAAAGTTTACCATGATATTTTCCCAAGTAATAAAGGTGGGAAAACTATCTAAGCTGTGTTTGATACGAGGTAAATTGAGATAAAGGAAAAGGAAACAATTAGCAAAATAATATATAAACAGTGACTATCATGAAATTTTCTCTTGGAAGTAATATTGGTGTATTTATCTTATTTGTAGCTTATAAAACTTAGTTAAATAATTTACAAGATTATTTGAAACTTGATTTTAAAAGTATGAACTAACATGATTATTATGCAACTTGGGTAATGTAAATTCTCTTTTATTTTTCATTGAAGCACACAAACAAGAGAGACTATTATTTCTCAACTCCATATTTTATTTACCATTTTCTTCTAAATCATAAGTGAGTAACTAAACAATTGAGATTACTTTCTTTAAGATTTTCTTTTCAACTTTCTCTACAATTTTCTAGCTACCCAAACAAAAAGAATCTAATGTTTATTCTAGAAAACTCTGAGCATATTTGGCTCTAATAAAGCATTTATATATTTGGCTGTAGATTTATTTTCTCTAATAAGGATACTAAAAAAATATTCTCGATGCCAACAGTCGGGATCAAAGACGGTGGAAAATAAGTCGGCGGCAGACCATCGTGATGCACACATCGAACGTGGCCGCCTTTACATGGACCACTTTTGTACTCAACCCTGACCAAAATCCTTCAAGCCCGATATCTGCTGCCATGTGTACCGAAAGCCCAAGATTGAGACAAGTGTGAAGCCTCAATAACTCAGCCCATTGGTTACGTGTCCAGCGAAATGGGCTGGGCCTCCATTTTATAGCATGATACCACAAGATACTATAGAGAAGCAACAGCGCAAATATCAGAATGAATAAGATTCAGAGGACGTCTTCAATAGAGAGAGAACCGCAGACTCTGCTCCTTGATCAGATCAAAGATGCGAGGGTAAGTTTTTTTTTTATTATTTTTTGTATTTGGGTTTGTTTTTATTTGTTGTTTTGAAGTCATCAATGATGATTCAATTTTGTTTTGATTATTGTAGGAGACAGCACTGTATGTAATCAGAAACCACAGCATAGAAGAAGCTATACGCATTTTCACAGAGGTAAGGTACTAATATAATCCACGAGAAAAGGAAAATTTTTATGTTACATTTATACTTAAGGTATTTAATGTTTGCTTAGTCGCATTTTGGTTTTGCTTTCTTTTGAATAAATCTTAATATATTGTTTGATGGCAGGCAGAAGATTAAAATGTATAATTTAGCTTATATTTTTTCTAACAAACAATATTGTTCTCAGGGTTTGCAGCCAGTTCTCAGCGTCAAGAACGGCGACACGAACGTGAACATGAGAATGGATTCGGATGAAGATCGGGTCGGGTTTAATCACGTTCTTGCTGGATTCAGAGACACAGCCACTGCTCCTTTCTAAATTTGAGTCTCCATTATGATCCCTTTTTTCGGAGGATATTTTGTAGGATAAAGTTTTTGTGTAAATACTGTAAGAATTAAAAAACTCTGCTGTGTGTAATGGGTGTTTTAGACAAGATTTTGGGAGGAAGTATTGTTTGTTATTGTTGTACAAATCTATTTTTGGTATCATTTTCTATGAATAACATGTTGATGGGAAAGTATGGAGCGTATTTGATTCAGCGATTTGTCAAAGTACCCACAACATAATTGGTAGTTGTGATGAGAGTCTTAAGAGTTGCAATTTCATAGCCCTATTTTTTTAATTTTTGTTTTTTAATTTTTTTAAGGGGATGGGTTAAGCGCTCTTTTTATGGTGCAAAATGTAGATTTACATCATTCCCTAATTTTTTTCCCTAAAACAGAATTAGATATATTCTGCATCGGAATATATTTTCCATAATAAAATTACTGATATCCAGACGATAAAATTTAAGTTGATGTTTTGCTGCAACTTTATTATCGCAGCTAACAAAACAAACACAGAGAAGCAGGCTGTAATAGGAGTAGCACTTCCAAGGGCTGAGACGGGCCGGCCTCCATTCACAATAGTAAGAGCATTTCCAACCGATCGCCATTTCCCCAAATTGACGAAAATTTTTCCCGTTTTCTTCCTCCAACCGATCACCATTTTTAGCGCTATTTTAAACCGTGCTACAGTATTACGCCAGGAATGGCGTAACACTGCAGATATGAAGTTTTTGTTTTTTTCAAGTTTGTCCTTAAAATTTGTTATAACAAATTAAATATTCCTATCATATCCTATTAAAAGATATGAATGATAAAATGAATATTTTTTTGGTGTAAAATTTAGAGTAATGAGTTAGAGATGGAATAGTAATTTAGTGTAAAAACTATACCAACTTGGTGTAAAAACTATACTATTTTGATTTTTTAGGCTGGAGATGCTCTAATGATATCCGCACGTGCACTCCGCGTGCTCAACCCCCTCCCCCCCACCCACCGGGGCAAAGCCTGCAGCAGCTCTCTTTCTCGGGCGAAGATCTGTGACCAGCTCGGGAAAGAAAATGGTCGCCGTTAGATCCTCGTCTTCTTCATCCTCACACTCTCGCTCTCATCGATCGAGATTTCTATCACCTTCTTCGATCTCGAGATACGTTTTTGTTCTCATCGGATTCTCGATTCTCGTCTTCTTCTTTTCTCAATCTCAGATCTCTGACGTCATCGTCGACAAACCCTTGGTCGCAGGGGAGGAACGGCCTCAAGAGGTAATTCTTCGATCTCTCTCCAAGTCCTAGGGTTTCAAGGAAGCGATTTAGGGCTTTGTAGTTTGGATATTTGGGGAAAATGGTGAATTTGTTTTTCACTTTAACGTCCGTGCAGGAGGCAACCCTCAGTCATGTGTATGTGCGAACGTAATCACATAGGAAAGTAGGGTTTTTTTTTTTCAAATTTTGAAGTGCGACTAAAATTTTTTATGGCACTTTTTATTTTCTATGATTTATAATATCTTCTTGCTGAATTAGCTACTGATGCTACCAAATATAGCCGCTTAGATCCAACTACGGCTAGCGAGACACCAAATATAGCAAGAAGAAGAAGCAGTCGACGTAGGGTGAAATTGGTGTTTTTAATTACGGACAAATTTTCAAAACCAACCCATTTGATAAACTATTCCAAAAAAAAGACCCATTTCAGTTTTATTTACAAAAACCGACCTGGTTTCAGCCTCAGCGCTGAAACCAGGTCGGTTTTTAAAAAAAAGCTTCCGAAATGAGTTTTGTTATGAGAAAAAACTTCACGGGAGTTGAACTCCCGTGAAGTTTCGTAAAGTTTTTTAGAAAAACCGACCTGGTTTCAGCGACAGTGCTGAAACCAGGTCGGTTTCTCTAAATAAATCTGAAACGGGTCGTTTTTTACAATTAGTTTATCAAATAGGTTGGTTTTGAAAATTTGTCCTTTTAATTACCGTTATGTTCATGCAAGATTTGATCTTTAATCACAAGAAAGTGTAGAGAGTCCTGAGACAGAGTAAACTAGGTTTTTATTTTCTGTTTAAAGTTCTATGTTTAGTGTAGTTATTTTTAAAGATTCATTTTTTGTTAAAGATTATTGCTACGCTCGTGATTGATCCTTTTTTTCGCTGAAAAATACGACTGTTTTTCCTTGACGTTGTTATTTTCTATGGTTTTTTGATTTTAACTCCTAACCTTTATCCTGATTTATTTATAAACCTACCCATTTCCAAAACTACTCTTAAAGCCATAATACCTACATTAAATTGTTTTTACCCACATACAGCTTCTTAAACCCAAGTATAACTACTGACACACCAAATATAACAATATAGACAAAATTGTTTTTACCGACATACAGCTTCTTAAACCCAAGTATAACTACTGGCACACCATATATAACAATATAGCAACCGAACAAAAGCTGGTTTTAGAAATAATTTGGTACTCGTATTTTGGGGATTAAGGAAAGAATTGTAATGGGGGGCGGGGGGGGGGTCTGAACATATAGTGGGGTAGAATATTGGGTTTATATACAAAAAGGATTATTTTTGATATGTTCCCCTTAAAATCTTTCTTGAAATAACAAATCTTTTTTGATCAGTTCCTCGATCACTGATTTTTTTTTTTTATTCCTTCAAATCCTGTTACTATTAGTTATTTCAAATTAATCGTCTGCCTGTTATTCCATCTAAGTTGCTAACTCAGATTTGGTTAGTTGTTAATCACACATGGTTAATTGCGTTTCTACCATCAATTAGTCAACCAGACATTATGATTTTAGAGGAGAGAGCCGGTGTAGAATGGGATAAGGGGAAGAAATTGCCATTAGGAAGAAATAGCTGTTGGGATAGGAAGAAAGGGGAATAAAATGGGTTTGGGTTTAAATTGGTTTAAACCGTAAAGAACAGGCTTGAATTTACTATAAGTTAGAGGTTATATCGGGAGCTCCATTGCAAAAATTGGAGTAGAATATTCCTTCCAAATAGGACTAATTTGAAATAACTAATAGGATTTGAGGGACTAACTTCAAAATATTAAAGACTTAAGGAACCAATATAAAAAAACCCCAAACAAATAAACTTGATTTTTTAACATATGAACTAGCTCATCCTCGAGATATGTGTAGTTATGTATACATGTACATGAAAGCACCCTAGAAGGTGGGTGGGTGGGTGGGGGGGGTGTGTGAATAGGGTTTATGCTAATCTAATCCGATTTAATGCCGAATTAAAACTTATTAACAATTTATTCTTGCAATAATGATATACAACTAATTATGAGCAAGAATAAGCAATATAAACAAAGGGCGATATAAACTTAAACTAAAATGCAAATGTGATAGTGTGCAAATAATCAACACAAACACACAAAGATGATCACGGAATTCGGTCCTTCCGACCTACGTCTCCGCTCCCCACTCCCGGAGAGAAATTCACTATCACAATCGAGTTTTCGACGCTCACCCGAAAACGCTTACACCTCACAAGTTCGGTTTTCTACGCTCACCGATAAACGTTTACAACTCACACTTGTAACAACACAAAATACCACCTCAAGTGTTGGCCTCTCATGTGTCACATTCTTCAAGTGTTCGGAATTACCACCTCTCTAGGCTTTACTACCGACCCCACTCCTTTTGGAACCGATCACGTCTCTCACCTCTACGCTCATTTTGGTGTATTTGTGTAATACAATGTGATCTCACAAATGAAAGCTCAAAATACAAATAATTTATTCTCTACAATAGATGAGAACACAATGTAGGCTCACTCAATTACACCACCAACCCAAATTACACAATATATGAAAATACTTAAGCTCAAATGGTTATGTGTGAAAGGTAACAAATAATATAAACTCAATTGAAATCTAGCTTAAGGAAATTATAATCAAACATATAAGTAGCTAGAGATCTAGCTTAAGGAAATTATAATCAAACATATAAGTAGCTAGAGATTGAGTTTAGAAAACTTCTCCAATGAAAACAAGAGTGGAGGGAGCTAGAGATTGAGTTTAGAAAACTTCTCCAATGAAAACAAGAGTGGAGGGATGTAGATTGAAGCCCAAACAAGAATGAATAATCTCCTCTTTCTCTTGTGAAAATTTCTTCACAAAACAAACTTGAAACAAAACTTAAACAAACTTTAAACCCTTGTAAAACTTGATTAAAACTCTTTTTGATTACTCTCAGAAGTTAGAGGGTATGGGGTATATATAGAGGATCATAGAACAAGCACCAAAATCAAGAGAAAAGCAAAGAAAAAGACAAAAAAAGGGAAACCTGAAAATCTGGAAAAACTAGCATTTAGAGTCTGTTGGTCGACTGATGAACAGTATCAATCGACTGAAGACTTCATCGGTCGACTGAAGACTTCATCAGTCGACTGAAGACTTCATCAGTCGACTGAAGACTTCATCAGTCGACTGAAGACTTCATCAGTCGACTGAAGACTTCATCAGTCGACTGAAGACTTCATCAGTCGACTGAAGACTTCATCAGTCGACTGAAGACTTCATCAGTCGACTGAAGAATTCATCAGTCGACTGATAAACTTATCAGTCGACTAATAGTTCATCAGTCGTAAAAATAGAAACTTTTGGTAATTTCAGGCGAGTTCATCAGTCGACTGATAAAATTCATCAGTCGACTGATAACAAGTTATCAGCCTGAAATAAACAGTAAATTTGATTTTTAAACCTCTTTTAAAAATAGAAAATAAATTCTAAAAAATGTAAAACTTTAAAAAATGTTCGTAAACATGAAAATGAACATGTTACAAAAAGAAATTTTCAAATTGCATCTCCCAATTGTGAAATCTCTTCATTTTGCAAAAAAGTCCAAAACATGAAAACTAAACAATTCATGTTTTTGATATTTTGACTTAAACAATATATTGAAAACTTTTGAATGAGTTTATAGACTTAGGAAAAGATGTAAACTAGTGTTATTAAGTCCATAAACTAAGAATACAATATTTCATCGAAAATACACATATTTTGCAATCTTTCAAAATAATAAACATGATAATCAAAACTTGATTTCAATGAAATCATAATAAACACATATAAACATGAATATGTATTTATATACGCGTACTCGATTCATGTATATGTGACTAAACGCATAGTTTCCAAAAACAAAAACGTTAAATATGAAACGTGTATATATGTAAACAAGAATATATGTTTCATAGTTATATATATTTGAAAACTATAAAAACCAAATACTTGTGTGTGTATATATGAGCTTAAAGTACCAACGCACAAAGTTTAAACTTCTAAACTATAAAAACTATACCCAAGCAATCTTGATCTTCGATGTAGCTCATCTTGGTTGCGGATGAAGCTTGATCTTGTATATGACTTGAATTGTATTGCTTCACTCCACTATTTCTGCCAACCTCCATTTGATATGATCGTTATGGCGCAATTCCATCAAACATTCGACTGATTGTGTGTCTAGAATAAATACAAAAACAAACACTAGACAAACAATATTAGTTGTAAATTGTTTGTTAAAACATTATCAAAACAAAAAGGCCAACAATACACACGATTGACAAGCTTGTGTTGTTATTTTCATTTGCAGGAGTTAGCTGATCGCTTATGGGATTCTTCAGCTGGATATGGTTTTCAGCCATGTGTCAAGCCTACCCGTAAATATGAAGGTCTTTGTTTCTGCTTCTTTTTTTCCCAGGCCTCTTTTATTTTTTGATACTGCAATCACATGAATGTTTCAGTTTTCAGTTCTCAAAGATTTTATATTTTATATAATAACACTGTCAGTGAAATGAATGCTTATTCTTTTTTTTCCTGCTAGTTAACAGAAGTTGATTGCATACTTGTTATAAAAATGTAGAATTTTATTTTCATCACTTTATATACGTAGATATCTTTATTATTGAACAAATAATTTGTTGTTATGCCATTGCCTAACATCTTTCCTTTGCATCATCAGCTCCCAAAATTTGGAACCGTTACTTAACTGTTAGAAGTAATGGAGGGCTCAACCAGATGCGCACTGGTGTACGTGTCATTCTCATTTTGGAAATGTTCTTTCTCGTTATGCTTTTGATTAGCTTTTGCCCTTTCTGTTTCAAGGTGCACGTTGCATGTAGTGTTATTGACCCTATCTAATGAGCTACCAGATATGATTTTAAGGATCCAAACCTGAAAATTTGGATTACATTCTGATATGAATATGGAGTCTTATTTCCACCTAATGGCGAGGAGAATAAAAATCTCTCAGAACAATAACCAATAACCATTTCTATTTTCCTTTACCACAACACTTAAAACCTAGGATATGTCTAATTGTTTGTATGGTATATCGAAAAACTTATAGAATGTAAAGGCCAAGAGTCTAAATGAAGTTGTAGAGATCATTCAAGTCTTTTGGTTTCACTAAGGATGTAGATGCGGCAAATGTATAAGTCTAGTTTAGTTGTTTAGTTTTTTGTTAGAGGGTAATATTACTGTAGGATAGTTTGGTTGTGATTTGGAGGAATGATGTACTCAAGCGAAGGCCTAATGTATCTGTGTCCTTGCTTGAAAGATTGGGCTAACGAAATGTTAACTTGCTTATTCTAACAGCTCTTCCTCTATACTCTATTTTCTGTTTCCATGTCCACTCGTCACTGTTGCAGGCCCATTAAGAATCTTAATTTTCATCCACCAGGTCTGAACAAGTGTTTAAACTCGATGCAATCGGCCAATCAGTTGTCGCATCTCAATTCTTAGTGAAACCAATAGACTCAAAGGACCAGGTAGTAACCATAAGTACATCCTCAGTTAAACCAAACAGCATGGACTATTTCTAAGAGCTTTAATTGGCCTATTGGCGCTTAAGCAGAACTACCGGTGTTACAAAGGTTGATAATGCATCCTCCCTACCCTGTGCCAGAAAATAGAGAGAAGATGACAGATGAGCAAAGTGGGAGAAAAAGAAAGATATAAAGAAATGAAGAAAGGCATATAACTCACGTAAGACTTGAAAGATCTATTGCAGCTTACTGAATTTTTTGGTTGAATATGAAGATTATCTTGTACTAAATTTTCTCTTAGCCTTTAAGATGTATCTCACGAAACTCTGGGATGTTTCTGTTACCAAATAGATGAAATTATCTGTAGGTAGGTTCAACTTCAGGCTTAAGAGCTTGAAACATGGTAATCAAGTGCTAAACATGTGTATTATTAGTTGCAGACCCTATTAAAAGAAATAGAACCACCATATTCAGGTTCAATGATTCACGACTTGATTGGTTTCCTTCATTGACACAGGCTTGCAAATTAGGAAAGATGCAGCCATGAGCCGATTGGCTTTTCTTTATTAGATGGGCTCTTGGGGACAATGCATGCTATACTGCTTTATCATTTTTTTGACCTAATTTTACACTCTTTATTGTGTTGTTCTGGAGAGGCTGTACATGTTTAATTTTGTCAAACTTCAGCATCATAACCATTCTCAACATGTAGATACTAGTTTTCTTTCTCTTAGGCACTTACAAAAGGACCCGTCATCCTGTCAAATTCTTGTGAATGTAGATAGTCTTATTCTACTGCATCTTTAGATTCTTTACCTTACATATTTATAATTTGACAGATATGTTGCTTCCTTATGTCTGCAGATATCTGATATGGTTGCTGTAGCTCGCATAATGAATGCTACACTAGTGATTCCTCAGTTAGACAAGCGATCCTTTTGGCAAGACTCAAGGTTTGAAATATGTTTAACAATTGCATGTAATATTGGCAAGTTACGTACATATCGGTTTGAAATATGTTTAACAATTGCATGTAATATTGGCAAGTTACGTACATATCCCTCACTTGTGTTTTCTTTTCTAATGTGGGTTCTAAACAGCACTTTTGCAGACATTTTTGATGAGGCTCATTTTATCAGTGCGCTACAAGGAGATGTGCATATAGTCCGGGAGTTGCCTAAGGAGTTGGAAGCTGCTCCAAGGGCTCGTAAGCATTTTTCTTCCTGGGCCAGCGTGAATTATTATGTGGAAGTAGCTCAGCTTTGGAAGGATTATCAGGTAGCTAACTTCAGAGAGATTTGATGTGCATAAGCTTTTAGTTTTGTTTTGTTCCTTATAGGCTAGAATTTTTACAACCATAAGTTGGTTAGCAACCTATCTGGAGCTGAAATATCCTTGTCTAGTTGCTATTAGTCAACATTTGCATTGTAGGCTGGTAATTGCAAAAGGCATTTCTATTAGGTTCAAAAGGGATTGCGCTCTTAGTTTTATTAATATATTTCACAATTTATATTCAAAGGCACATTTAATAGACTTAAGTTACTGCAACTGTCTTATATTTTTCTAGGATTGCGACTATGGTGGGATGACTTGGGTTTGATTATCAGACTAATCTGATGAAACATCTTAAACACTCATTTCTAATCGGACCAAATCCCACTATAATCGGGATCTAACCATGCAGCAGGTCCCATTGATCCAAGTATCATTATCAGCCATGACACATCTTTTCATGTTCTGTTCCTACAGTCTCATTGGTAGCTTTTTATTAAGTCAAACTCGTATCAACTATCAACTAAGTCTTATGGTTCCCATACTCTGAGATATTATATACGTTATTTGTTTGGTTTGGACTATAATACGAACCTCCTGGGGGCAAAACTTGTAATTTTGTTCTTTGTGTCAGGTAATTCATGTTCCCAAGTCTGATTCAAGACTAGGTAACAACAACCTTCCTATTGATATTCAAAGACTACGATGCCGTGCTCTATACCAGGCACTCCGCTTTTCCCCTCCAATTGAAAGCCTTGGAAAGGTTAGCTTTTGCCACATTGAATGTCTGCTATGCTATTTTGCCAGGGCGAACCAGTTTATGCTACTGCTCTTTAGTAGTGCATTTAAGAGATCCTGGGGTAGGTTCTGAGGCTCCATGATGCTGAAACCACAGAAGCTAGTGGAGCGGCTGAGGTCAAGCGGGCACTACATTGCTCTTCATCTGCGTTATGAGAAGGATATGCTATCCTTCACTGGCTGTACTTATGGTCTTAATGATTCTGAAGCTGAAGAGCTAAAAATTATGAGGTCAGCAGCCATTATTATTGTTTTAAATATTGTGTTCGTTGTATATTTGTGTGCTAAATGCTGGTCTTTATCTGGTTATAGGGAGAACACAAATCATTGGAAATTGAAGAATATAAATTCTACTGAACAGAGAGCTGGTGGAAATTGTCCATTAACTCCAAAGGAGGTTGGGATCTTTCTGCGAGCACTAGGTTATCCTCCATCCACCTGGATCTACATTGCAGCTGGAGAAATATTTGGTGGCGATACTTACCTCTCGGATTTAAGATCTCGTTTTCCAAACTTAGTTTTCAAGGTTCTGTTTATTGGATTGTTAGCTTGATTTGGAACTTCATCAGGTGGATGTCAATTCACTGATTTAAGCCCTATCTTCTTGTAGGATACACTAACAACAAAGGAAGAGCTGGAGAAGTTTGCTAGTCATGCAACACAAGCTGCAGCTTTAGATTATATCATATCAGTTGAAAGTGACGTGTTTATTCCTTCACATACTGGAAACATGGCAAGATCGGTAGAAGGGCATCGCAGGTTTATAGGACATCGAAAAACAATCAATCCTGATAGGTAGGCGGCACTCTTACAACAACAAGCAAAGCTAGTCAGCCTTTTTTTTTTAAATTTATTTTCTTTAGCAAGTTAAGCAGATTTTCAACTTGCACACACGCCTTTGCTAAAATATGTTTATATGTGAGAAACACAATTTCAGCTGATAATTGCACAGCTTATTGAAACCATTATGTCACAACTCCAGTATTATTTCTCGCTGTTTCTTTTGTTCCCGCGAAAGCCAATTATTTTTATATCATAATTGAAAACTCAAAATCCTGTTTCATCTCATTATATTTCTTGGGTCTTTTTCTCCGCATTTATATCCTGTCTGTTAGAAGCACAGAATGTGACATTGGCATACTAAATCTTGAGAAATTCTTTCTGATCATTCAGTAAAACACCTCTTTATTATTGTCATTCATCTGTTTACGCGAGGCAATATTCGGCTTATGGAAACACGGGTGTCCAAGCAACATATAACCCTTGTTGCTGGCAAATGTTGTTGAACCAAATCCTACTTTGATTGGACATTTTTATCTGCTATATATGCTACCATTCTTTGAGGATTGTTGACATTGTTTGATGGCTATATATGTATATGAGTTTTTGATGGGAAGTGCTCGTTTGTTATCCAATCATGGGCATCAACAGTTTTTGCATCACAACTACGGCCAATTTTTTTTACAGGAAAAGATTGGTAGAGCTTTTTGATAAGATAGATAGAGGCGAGCTGGAGGAGGGTCCAAAATTGTCCTCGCTTGTTACTGAATTGCACAAGCACAGGTATTACTTTCCTATGTTTGGGTTGTCGCTCTTTTCTGTGGAAAACTTCTTCAAGCCAATTTCACAGGTGACGATGGAATAATATTCTGTGCACGTTTTTATGTTTGCAGACAAGGAGCTCCAAGAAAAAGGTATGGTTCTCTGCCCGGAGCCAAAGGCAAGGATCGACTTAGGACGGAAGAATCTTTCTATGAGAACCCTTTACCTGAATGCATCTGCCACTCTAAACGCCATTAACAAAAAATGTACATCAATTTAAATCTCGTTCCATAAAGTTTTTAGTAACAATTCTATCCTTTCTAAGTTGAAGGGAAGGGCATTACGTAGATAACCTTTGAATTTCTGGTTAATGTTTCTGGTTATTCATGTATAAAGAATTCTTTTGTTCCGAAAACTGAAAACTTGGCAAAACTACACTCTAGGTCCCTAATGTATTAGCCTAATTTTATTTGGGTCTTTAATGTTTGAAAGTCATCAATGGAGATCCATAACATTTTCTCCGTCATCAAATTAGGTCCTTTTTGAGATTTATTATTATTTATCGCTGATGTGGCAGCTAACTGGTTGTCTATTTTCTCCTTTTTGTCACATAAGCCCCTATATGTTTTAAAAACTATAAATAGCGCCTTGAAAGTTTTTAAAATTTACAAATAGCACCCTATTAGTTTTGGACATCACAATATCCCCCTAAAAATTTTAAAAGCTACAATTGGTCTGTTAAAAATTTTACAACCAACTCTTTGAAAGTTTTTAAAATTACAAATAGCATGCTAAAAGTTACTTGTAATTTTTACAACTTTCACGGGGCTATAAAATTTTTGAATGTTTGTTTGTAAAAATTTGAGGTTAACTTATAGTTTTCAAAACTTCTGAGGTTGTTTGCATATTTTTAGGAGGCTTTTTATAAAATTTTAGGGAATTGTTAATAATTTTCAAAAGTTCTAGGGGGCAATTTAGAAAAGTTTTAGGGGACCCTTGTTTAGATAATATACAAACAGCTATTTAAAGTTATAAAACTATAAATGGAACCCTAATTTTTTTATAAATAGACCCTAAAATTTTTTATAAATAACCCCTAAAGTTCTTTAAAAAGCACAAATAACTTTTGGGGTGTTATTTGTAATTTTTAGTACTTTTAGGGGTTGGTTGTAAAATTTATAGCAGACCACTTGTAGCTTCTTAAATTTTAGGGGGATATTTATGATATTCAAAACTTTTAGGGTGTTATTTGTAATTTTTAAAACTTATAGTGGGTTACACGACAAAAAAGGAGAGTGAATATAGTCCAGTCAGCTGTCACATCAGTAATAGATAAAGGAAGATCTTGTAAAGGACCTAACTTGATGACGGATAAAACGTTATGGATTTCTGTTGATGACTTTCAAACATTAGAGGCCCAAATAAAAATAAAATTTGACTAATACATTAGAGATCTATATTGCAGTTTTGCCCGAATACTTTGTAACTGCCTGAGTTTTTCTCTTGTGGAGTGGGATTGTGAGTTTTTCTCTTGTGGATTGGGATTGTTCTATCGGGGCGTCTATTATCTAATACTATTATAAAAGTGTGTTGCCATGTTAAAACATTTCTTCCAAAAATACCCTTCGAAACACATACATGCATACATCTCTAGCACATCCATACATGCATACATTAAGATATATAAATACTTAATTTTTCATAACCTCCCCATTTATTAGCATCAAATTTTTATTTAACCACCCACTAATAACATTCCCCCACTAAGTCTTGACATTACACACTAATAATGAAAAACGTTATTAATGGGAAAGGGGCAATTGAGGCAGAGCTGAACTCGCCAAAGTATTTTGAAACTGTAGTCCATATATCCCTGCAGGATATAAATGGGTCTTCGTAAGAAAAATAAATAAGAATTGTAAGGTGGTGAGATATAAAGCGAGATTCATAGCTCTAAATTGTTACAAAAGACAAGAAGTGTGAGTGTTTCAATGGTAACATCACTGGTGGAGTACAATCAAATTGAATGAGGAGATGGTAATGGAAGCATCGATGTACAATTTAGAGAGCAGAGAAAAAACCGGTGAAGGCGACAAAGAAGGCGGTCCTGTATTTTATCAAAATCTGCAGCTATTTCAGTCATAAACTAATTGGTTTTCCCCCCTTCCATCTTCGTATATGTTTTTACCTTAGCATGTAAATTGCTTTCCAACTCCTAGGCATGTTTGTAAATATGCTAAATTGTTTGTATAGTTTGGTTGAATCTCTTAATGCATTATGCTTATTCTCGGGATAAAGAAAGATTTGTCCATGACAATGCATTATAAGTGTAATTGCTTTCACTCTATATGTGTAAAGGGTTAATTTTTGTTCTATGGTCACTAAGGTAATACATTGATATTATTGGGTTATAAAGGACAAATAGAAAGTGTAGGAAGATCAATTTAGAAAATGATATAGTTAGTTGGTCCTGAGGATGCTTATAGAAGGGATTACTACTACAATTTTAAGAGTATTATCAATTTTCTGCTATTAATTATTAATTTTCTGCTATTAATCTACTATTTGAGTATAATAGTTAATGTATGATAATTATAATATATATTGATATCACATTAATATATAATATTTATATGAATTATTAAATATGTGCAATTATCAAATATAATATGAGTAAAAAGTTATTTATTTACCAATTCAAATAAATAAATATATAACATAACATTACAGTAACATGAAAAGTCGTCAACTTTTTATTAACCATCCCCCCCTCTCTTCAATAAGAAACCCATTCATGAAGGGTTACCCATTTCTCCATTAACCATCTGTAAATTGCATTATTATAACAAATAGGGAAAATTATACATAATTCCCTCTTCTATATCTTGAGTTGCCATAAATCATCCTCGATATACTAGCACTTAATACCCTTAAAATGCAATTTTAGAGATATAAATTGCAAGTATCAAATATAAATTGGGGGGACTCTAAGAGCTAATAATAAACTAGAGGAGGTTTAATAATTTCTAGAAAGATAATTTCAAAATAACATCTCTCTCTCATGTAAATGTATTTGAGCTTCTTGCTTTACAAGTAGTTTATATTTTATAATAAAAACACATGTAAGCTAATTTTCTATGCAGAGAGTTATTGTTTTCGATAAAAATAACTTATTCATGACCTCCTACAAATATACTCATTTAATCTTTATGCATTAAGTCTCATTTTATTGAATAAATATTAATTCTTTATTAATTACTATAATATCTTAATAACTATTCACTTTCTAACCTAATAGAACCAAAAGAATTCCAAAAAATTAATCAACAAATGTGCCTACGTGCAATGCACGTACACGATACTAGTATACTTAAATGCATATCCCACTTTTTTTTTCTAGTCCATGGAAATCTTTTAGGGCTGCTTGAACTTGTGTGCTATCATCAGGGTTTATTAGCCGTGTATAAAAGAAAGAATCTCTTTAGATTCTAGCACATTAAATTTGGATATATGAACCAGTGTCTCAGTTTATTTTTAATTGTGTTGTTTGATTATCCTTCTAATTCCTCAGACAAGTCACATGTACCGTGCTTCATCCCATACCCATAGATTAAGGTTGTCAAATGAGTGGTTTTGGTTGGGTTTTGTGTGGGTCATAAATGGGCGGGTAAATTTATGCCAATTTGTCTATTTACGACCCATTTAATATTTGCTAAATGTTACAGTACTTTTCACCTACCTATTTATTAAATGGGTGGTTCATGAGTGACTCAATAACCTATTTAGCTATTAGACTTTTATTTTTTAGGGGTCCTTTTTTTAAATTTGCAAATAACATATGAAATCTGAAAATTTTCAGCAGTCCCGTATAAATTTAAAATTTACAAAAAACACTCTTAAAATTTCAAAATTTATGAAAAACACCCTCAATGGTTTAGAATTACAAAAACCACCCTAAAATTGCAAAACCTATAAATAATACATGAAATACAAAAATTACCAACAATCCCCTAAAAATTTATAATTGTAAAAAACATCCTTAAAAGTGACTCAGGGCTCTATTGTTTCGCAACCTTTACACTTAACTAAGCTAAACGGTAATAAGTAATACTTTAGTATCTTAAAGCTTGTTTGGTAAGGGTTGAACTTTATCCTGATAAACTCTCTCTCAACTTGAACCTTATTTGCTATCATTTTAAAATTTCACCAAGGTTAAAAGTTTAATCATATATGAGGATAAACTTTAAGCAATTGAAAGGGTAGGATAAAAAGGGGCGAAAATTTAGGTTTGGTCCATTTAACTATGTGCAATTATAAATAACCCTAAAAAATCTTCAAAACTTACCAAGAAGCCCCTAGAGTAAAAAAATTGTAAATATCCCTTTGCTAAATAGAAAATTACAAAGACCTCCAACAATACCAGAACAACAAAGAACCCTAAAAATTTTCAAGAATTGTAAAAGCACTCAAAAAATTCAAAACATACAAATAGCACTAAAAATTTCAAACCCTACAACAAGCCCCTAAAAATTTTTGGATTCACCAAAATCACCTTGAAAATTTAAAAACTACAAATACCCCCCTCAATTATCAAATTAAAAAAACTAAAAAAATTCAAATAGAGGTTTTGGGGACAAGTGGTGCTCTTGGATTTACTACATTGTTTCAACTTCAAATTGTTCAGTGCTTGTTAATGGTTCTCCCTCAAAATCTTTTACATGCAAAAGAGGTCTTAAACAAGGAGACCCTCTCTCTCCCTTGCTGTTTAACTTATCAGTAGATGTTTTGAGTAGAATGATTATGTATAACGTGGATGAAGGTTTGCTATCCAGTCTTCAAATCAGAGAACCCCTCAACCATATTAGGATCTTGCAATTTGCCGATGATACTTTGCTCTTTGTCAGAAGCACACTTAAAGACATTAGCGCTTTGAAGGCTATTTTATACATTTTTGAAGACATTTCAGGTTTGGGCGTCAATTATTCAAAATCATCCCTCTTATATTTTGGTAATATTCAAAATAGAGGTTTATCTTTATCATCAGCCCTCAACTGCAGATTTGATAGTCTTCCTATCAAATACTTAGGTCTTCCTTTGAAAAGAGGTAAACTATCAAAATCTGATTGGCAACCCTTGTTGAACAATCTGCATCATAAACTTGCTTCTTGGAAGTGCAACTGTTTGTCCTATGGAGGAAGATTGGTTTTGCTAAACTCTGTTCTTACCTCAATACCTCTATACTTTATGTCTTTTTACAAATTACCAGGATGGTTGATCAAAGAAGTTGACAAAATCAGAAGAAACTTCCTTTGGTCAGGTAAATCAGTTTCTAAACCTTTCAAATGCCTGGTCAATTGGAAAAGGGTTTGCATGAATAAATTAGAAGGAGGTTTGGGAGTGAAAGATCTCAAAACTTTTAATATCTCTCTTCTTTCAAAATGGCTATGGAAATGTCTTGATAGAGATTCTTATATTGGTGCATTCCTTTACCATCTATATGTCAGAAAAGGTTCTTCTTTGCAATCTGTTGCTTCAAAAGCTTCTAACTCTCTAGTGTGGAATGATATCATTTCAAATAAATATGTGTTCTTACAACTTCTATCATGGTCTCTTGGTTCTGGGGATAAAATCAGATTTTGGGAGGATAAATGGATTGGTAAGAATTCCCTTTCCAGTTTATATCCATCCTTATACTCTCTAGCCTGGTCTAACAATGTCTCTATTCGTAGTCAAGGAAATCTCCAAAACAACAATTGGCATTGGCACCCCCTCTTGAAGCGTAGCATTACATCAGTACCACATTCTGTCAAACTGGATTTCATGAATTGTATTGGTATGCACAAAATTTCGAATCAGGTGGATATTCCATTATGGTCCTTAACATCGAATGGCCTCTTCTCTGTTAAATCCCTTTATGACTTTTTAATTTCCAGAGGCATTAAATCATCCACATATAGTATTGTTTGGAATCCTCTCTTACCAAGCAAGATTCAAATCTTCACATGGCTTTTATCTATGAATCGTCTACATACTAAAGACAATCTCCTGAAAAAAGGTTGGCAAGGTGATCCTTTGTGCGTTTTCTGTAAATCTAATCCTGAAACTGCAGAGCACATTTTCTTTTCGTGCAATTTTGCATCTAATGTATGGAAACATTTCAGTGATTACCATCTGCCTTTTACATGGCCATACTCTCTAGAGGATCTTATGCTATATATTGCATCTCTGGATAAAAAGGAGGGAATTCTATGGAAATGTATTTTTCCTATAGTATGCTGGTTTATATGGTCTTCAAGGAACAAATTTGTATTTGAAGAAGCTTCTTTCTCTGTTAGATATATCATTAATTCTACCATCTCTTATTTATATGAATGGTCAGGAGCAGGAAGAAGAAAGGATGATCTGTGTTTGGCTAAAGCCTTACAAGAAAGACCTGTTCCACGGCAAGGAGATTAACATCTACATTTCTGTAGAAGAAGGATGGCGCTGAAGCTTAGAGTAGTGTTATATCAGCTTCTTTCCTAGAGACATATCATTATCTTTTTGTAGCTTCTGATGTAGCTGTGTATATATCAGCTTTTGTTTTTATTTTGTTAAATTAGTTTATAGAAAACTTAATTTCTCTTGATCAAATGTATGGCTGGCTTTGGTTCTTACCTATATCCATGTCAACGGTGAATGACGGCAAGGCCCTCTCTTCATCTTCATGGATGTTTGTAAGAAGAAGGTCCTACATCCCTAACAAGAGAAATTATTTTTTCTATCTACTAATCTCTATGGATACAATTCGTATCTTGCTTTTGTAAACATACTTTTGGTTTTAATGAACAGGGTATAACCCTTGTTTTTTAGTCAAAAAAAAAAAACCCTAAGAGATTAAAACCTAAACAAATCTAAAGAGGAAAATTTAGACAAATCAAAAGAGGAAAAATTTAGAAATCCAGTCCAAAACAAATCTAAAATGAGAAAACTAAAATAAATCAATTGGGACAAAAGGTTTAATTTTAGAAATCTCATTGAGAATGCGGGATGAGATGATCTATGGAGCTAGATGTAGCCGGCTCACAAATAGGGCATGTGTTAAAATATGAAATTATGATCTTTAAGTCTTATCCTAACTTTGGAGTTTTGACATGATGGTTAGAGGGATTTTCACTTGGTATCAAAGTCAAACCCAGTTCAAATCTTGTTAGCCACAAATTTAATGCGGACTTTAAAATTGTTATTGCTACATGTGTTCATATTTCAACCATAAAGAAAAGGGCATTCAACCTATAAAGGCATATTAGAATATAAAAATTATAATTCTTAAGTCTTTTCACAATTTTAAAGTTTTGATATAATGCTAAGAGGGGCTTTCATCGCATAAGGGAAGATCTCGCAGTCATGTTCTTTAGAAAAGGTTGAAAACCCCTTCGCTTCCTGAGTTGCTGTTAGCAAGAAGCAATTTAGAAGGTTTTCTTCAGTCCCCCATCATCTTAAAAATTGCAAATAATGAATACCTCCTCCTTTTTTTTTTTAATTTGACGAGTTGGTGTCAGTCTGCCCCTATGTTTGGGGATTTGGGAGCAGAGAAATGAGGAGATCGATGGGAAGGGAAGGGGAGCGAAACAAGCCTCGTTCTCTTCCATTTGATTCCCCTCAAAGATGGGAAGAACTAGATTACATTGATAGGTGATGCCCTCCTCTCCTAATCCCAAAAAGACTGTTAATTTTTTTAGATCCCTTCCACTTTCCCCTCCCCTTTATTCTATTCCATCCAAAGTGACACGTTGTTAAGACGAATATATGTGTAAGGATCTAAGGGGTATTATTCATTCGGGATTGTATAGGAGGAATAGGATTGTTATCCAAGAATCCTACATTCCAGAATTCAGATTCAGATTTGGATTTGGATTTTTTTTTTCTTTAGAATTTTGGACTTTCTAAGAGGTTTTTAAACTTCCGGATGGATTCTCACATTGAATGTTAAATAACTATTAACAAACATAACTACAATAATATTAAAAAACATGATTAGTATTAAATTACTAATTCTATGCAAATTACAATTTAAGGTTGATTTTTTTGCTGCTAATTTGTATAGTCAATATGTAAACATTAAATATGATAGAAAGTTTTATATCAATCATTCAAATAAAATATAAATTATGAAATATTTACTATTTTATTATTTAATATATGAGATAGTAATTATATTTAATGTTACTTAAATAAATTTATTATCTAATCTTAAGATAAATATTAAATATATAACTATTAACATATATTTAAAACGTATAAAATATAAAATATATATTTCATTCATGAATTTTAGTAATTTCTTTTATATACTTTAAAATTTGATAAATAAAAAATATATTTAATATCAATATTATTAGATGAATAAATATTAAAGATTCAAATGGTTGAGTAATATTTCATATCAAATATATTTAAGGAATGATTAAACAATATCTAAAATTGTATAATAAATTTTATATTTGATAAAATTATTTTTAAATAACAATAAATATTTAAATAATTTAATATATACTATTTAATTATTTAATTTAATGTTTATTATATTTAATATTTAGATATTTGCTATGGTTTCTTGTCGAATATTTAAATATTAGTTCCTTTGGAGAAATGGTGCAGGGGTGCAAGAACATCAAAGACAAGATTAATGGTCAAGATGTCAGAGTGTTGGTTAAAGTCAAATCAGCAGAATGTATCCCAAAAACTATCATATGTTCCTATACATCCCAGATCGATTTCTTTCATAGGGAAGTGCATTTGGAGATTCAACCGATTGGCGTAGGGCAACTTGGTTCAGATGTTATAGGATCGAATCTCAATGCTATGGCTACGCAAGGCGATATTGTCTTGGATTCGCAATGGATAGATCAGATTACCCCTCAAGCTGATGCTATTATTTCTTCTCCGGCTAAGGGATCACCGGCAGTATCTCAGGCACAACACAGCAGTTCTGATAAGGGTAAAGAGGTAATTCAGGGTGTTTCAAATGCAGCAGATTTTCAGGGAGATAATCAATTACCGCAAATTGAGGAAATTCAAAAATCTCCTATTATGCCAATAACAAATCAAGCGGATTCTCAGGCTAATTCATCTAACGCCAGCTCAGAACAGATCCCTGAATCTCTGCGAGATTTCCCTGTGGATTTGGTCAAACATTCTTGGCAAGGTCATTCTGTTTATTTAGAGAAAAAAACGTGGGTAAATATTTTTGGCAGGAATTCTGATTCAAATTTCTCTGATACTGCTCTCCCGCCAATTTCTAACGACACCCCAGCTATTCCAATGTCTTCATCAGTTCCACCAGGTTTCTCTCACAAACAAGGCTCTTCCTCATCCGTTCGTTCAGCTAGGAGATCTATGCTTAATCGTAAACACAGGAGTTTTCTGAAGCATATCTCCTCTTCTAAAACTGCTTCTAAAGTTGCTAAAAAAGGTACGAAACGTACTCTTTCTTCATCTTCTTCAATTAAGATGCCTCTTAATGCTATGCATCATAATACTTTTGAGGAAATTGCGGAAAATTGTGGAGTTACGTTGCATTCTGATTCCATAGCAAAGTTTAAAGAAAAGGAGATTGACAGAGTTGCTTCAGGCTGTTAAGTTTTAAGATATCGGAGTCGTATAGGAGGTTCTTGTTATCTTTCTTTCAATGAAATTTGCATCTTGGAATATTCGTGGTCTTAATGACCCAAACAAAAGATTTCTAGTTAAAGATTTTGTTCTTCGTCAGTCAATTGACGTCATTGGTATTCAAGAATCTAAGCTTTGTAAACCAAATGCTAGAAAGCTTCGTTCTATGGGTGGTAATCGTTTGTCACACTGGTCTATCTTAGATTCTACTGAATCCAGAGGCGGAGTCATGGTTGGTTGGTCAAATTCTTTCAATTTGATTCGTTCATATGTGGGTATCTTCTCCGTTTCTGTATCTTTTCTTCATATAACCTCCAATTGGCTCTTTACTTTCACTAATGTATATGCTCCAATTGATAGAGAGGATAAGGAGGTATGTTGGTGGGAGCTTAATAGGGTTCGACAATTGTTCGATGGTCCTTGGATTATTTGTGGTGATTTCAATGCAACTTTGTGCTCAGAAGAGAGAAATGGTAATGGGGGTTCTCTTCGTGATATCAATTCTTTTCGTAAATTTGTTTCATCTACTTCTCTTATTGATCTTCCTCTTTCTGGCCGGTCTTTCACTTGGTCCAATAAGCATCACAACCCAGCCTTGGCAAGACTAGATAGATTCTTAATAAGTGCAGAATGGGATAGGAAATATCCCCTCAGTTTACAATTCTCTCCGCCATCTTCAGGCTCAGATCATATTCCTCTTGTTCTTGATAGTGGGGGTATCCAACCAAAATCACCTCTCTTTAGATTTGAAAAGAGTTGGTTTCATAATAGTAGTTTTGTTCCTTTTATTGAAACAGCTTGGAAATCCTTTCATTGCAAAGGAAACCCCGTTGACATTTTCATCAATAAACTCAATCTGTTAAAGAGAAGAATAAAGTGGTGGAGAAAACATGTTTATGGATCTTTATTCATTAGGAAAACTGACTTATTAAACAAGATTAATTCTCTTGATCTTATCGAAGAAGAAAGACCTTTATCTTCTGCTGAGTTGAATGAGAGGATTTCATTACAATCTAGTTTTTCTTCTATTATTAAAGAGGAGGAAGCCTATTGGTTGCAAAGATCCCGCATACAGTGGTTGAAAGAGGGAGATGCAAATACTACTTTTTTCATAGAACAGCTTCCAATCACAAAAGATCCAACCATATTGCCTCTATCTCCCATTTGGATTCTGAAATCACAGACAATGAGGAAATTACTAAGGCTTTTTATGACTATTATCTTCATCTTTTTGGTCAGGATAACTCTAATAGCCTTTCTGTTGATTGGGCCTTTTTGTACCCTGATCAGAATTCTAATCTTTCTTCTCTGGAGGCATCTTTTTCTGAAGAGGAAGTTAAACATGCTGTTTTTAGCATGAATCCAAACAAGGCACCTGGTCCAGATGGTTTTTCCCTACTTTTCTATCAATCTTTTTGGGACTTAATTAAATCAGATTTGGTTGCTCTTATTAACTTTTTTGGGGATAATCCTTCATCTCTTCATAGAGTGAATAGAGTCCTCATCACTCTCATCCCAAAATCTAAAGACATTCCCACAGTTAAAGATTTTAGGCCTATCAGTTTGATCAATTGCATTTTCAAAATTTTTACTAAAGCTCTTGCAATCAGATTGGCACCTATTATGCAAGATTTGATTGCTCCCTCTCAGTCAGCATTTCAAAAAGGCAGATCTACTCTTGATTCTATTCTTATTGCCAATGAGATGATACACTTCTGCTCTAAGAGGAAAAAGGAAGTTGCTATGGTTAAAATTGACTTTGCGAAGGCTTTTGATTCTATAAGCTGGAATTTTCTTATCAATTTGCTTAAAGCTAGAGGTTTTGGGGACAAGTGGTGCTCTTGGATTTACTACATTGTTTCAACTTCAAATTGTTCAGTGCTTGTTAATGGTTCTCCCTCAAAATCTTTTACATGCAAAAGAGGTCTTAAACAAGGAGACCCTCTCTCTCCCTTGCTGTTTAACTTATCAGTAGATGTTTTGAGTAGAATGATTATGTATAACGTGGATGAAGGTTTGCTATCCAGTCTTCAAATCAGAGAACCCCTCAACCATATTAGGATCTTGCAATTTGCCGATGATACTTTGCTCTTTGTCAGAAGCACACTTAAAGACATTAGCGCTTTGAAGGCTATTTTATACATTTTTGAAGACATTTCAGGTTTGGGCATCAATTATTCAAAATCATCCCTCTTATATTTTGGTAATATTCAAAATAGAGGCTTATCTTTATCATCAGCCCTCAACTGCAGATTTGATAGTCTTCCTATCAAATACTTAGGTCTTCCTTTGAAAAGAGGTAAACTATCAAAATCTGATTGGCAACCCTTGTTGAACAATCTGCATCATAAACTTGCTTCTTGGAAGTGCAACTGTTTGTCCTATGGAGGAAGATTGGTTTTGCTAAACTCTGTTCTTACCTCAATACCTCTATACTTTATGTCTTTTTACAAATTACCAGGATGGTTGATCAAAGAAGTTGACAAAATCAGAAGAAACTTCCTTTGGTCAGGTAAATCAGTTTCTAAACCTTTCAAATGCCTGGTCAATTGGAAAAGGGTTTGCATGAATAAATTAGAAGGAGGTTTGGGAGTGAAAGATCTCAAAACTTTTAATATCTCTCTTCTTTCAAAATGGCTATGGAAATGTCTTGATAGAGATTCTTATATTGGTGCATTCCTTTACCATCTATATGTCAGAAAAGGTTCTTCTTTGCAATCTGTTGCTTCAAAAGCTTCTAACTCTCTAGTGTGGAATGATATCATTTCAAATAAATATGTGTTCTTACAACTTCTATCATGGTCTCTTGGTTCTGGGGATAAAATCAGATTTTGGGAGGATAAATGGATTGGTAAGAATTCCCTTTCCAGTTTATATCCATCCTTATACTCTCTAGCCTGGTCTAACAATGTCTCTATTCGTAGTCAAGGAAATCTCCAAAACAACAATTGGCATTGGCACCCCCTCTTGAAGCGTAGCATTACATCAGTACCACATTCTGTCAAACTGGATTTCATGAATTGTATTGGTATGCACAAAATTTCGAATCAGGTGGATATTCCATTATGGTCCTTAACATCGAATGGCCTCTTCTCTGTTAAATCCCTTTATGACTTTTTAATTTCCAGAGGCATTAAATCATCCACATATAGTATTGTTTGGAATCCTCTCTTACCAAGCAAGATTCAAATCTTCACATGGCTTTTATCTATGAATCGTCTACATACTAAAGACAATCTCCTGAAAAAAGGTTGGCAAGGTGATCCTTTGTGCGTTTTCTGTAAATCTAATCCTGAAACTGCAGAGCACATTTTCTTTTCGTGCAATTTTGCATCTAATGTATGGAAACATTTCAGTGATTACCATCTGCCTTTTACATGGCCATACTCTCTAGAGGATCTTATGCTATATATTGCATCTCTGGATAAAAAGGAGGGAATTCTATGGAAATGTATTTTTCCTATAGTATGCTGGTTTATATGGTCTTCAAGGAACAAATTTGTATTTGAAGAAGCTTCTTTCTCTGTTAGATATATCATTAATTCTACCATCTCTTATTTATATGAATGGTCAGGAGCAGGAAGAAGAAAGGATGATCTGTGTTTGGCTAAAGCCTTACAAGAAAGACCTGTTCCACGGCAAGGAGATTAACATCTACATTTCTGTAGAAGAAGGATGGCGCTGAAGCTTAGAGTAGTGTTATATCAGCTTCTTTCCTAGAGACATATCATTATCTTTTTGTAGCTTCTGATGTAGCTGTGTATATATCAGCTTTTGTTTTTATTTTGTTAAATTAGTTTATAGAAAACTTAATTTCTCTTGATCAAATGTATGGCTGGCTTTGGTTCTTACCTATATCCATGTCAACGGTGAATGACGGCAAGGCCCTCTCTTCATCTTCATGGATGTTTGTAAGAAGAAGGTCCTACATCCCTAACAAGAGAAATTATTTTTTCTATCTACTAATCTCTATGGATACAATTCGTATCTTGCTTTTGTAAACATACTTTTGGTTTTAATGAACAGGGTATAACCCTTGTTTTTTAGTCAAAAAAAAAAAAAAAAATTCAAATAGAAAACATTACAATGAAACTCAATGAAATACAAACAGCCCCAAAATTTTAGGAATTGCAAAAAATATCTGAAAACTTATAAAACTTGCAAAAAAACACTAGAAAAATTCTAAATTTACAAAAAATGAAAATTTCTAACATAAGACAATAAACAAAAAAATCTATGAATTACAAACATCCCCCTAAAAAGTTTTGAACCGTCAAAATTTTAAAACTTATAGAAAAAGCTTGAAAATTTCAAACCTAAAACAGAACACTGAAAATATATGAATTACAAATTGCCCCCTAAAATTTTAGAATTTGCACACCCAAAACATTCAAAGTTGTAATAAACACCCTCAAAAAGTTCAAATTTTACAACAAACTTTGTGAATATTTCCAAACCTACAAATAGTATGTTGAAAATCTTAGAATTACATATAGCGCCCTAAAAATTTTATGATTTGCATAAAACACCCTAAAACTTTTAAAACACTCCCTCAAAATTCAGAATTTGCAAAAAGCACCTGAAAACATCAAACCAAAAACAGTACACTGAAAATACTAAGAATTACAAACAGTGCATATACAATTTTGATTTACAAAAAACACCCTATAACTTTTAAATGTTGCAGAATGCCCCCTAAAATGCAAAATTTCCTTGAAATTCCCAAAAAAATTAACCTACAAATATGAAATTGAAAATATATGATTAGGAATAGCCCATTGAAACTTTTGGAATTTGCAAAAATATCCTAGAACTTTTAAATGTTGCAATGAACACCCTATAAATTTTGACATTTACAAGAAGCACCCTAGAAAAATAAACAATTACAGAGAGCTATTTTTTGTAATTTCAATTTTTGAGGGTGTTTTCACCAATTTCTATAACTTTTAGGGTGTTCTTTGCAAAGTCAATTTTTGTGGGGACTGCTTGTTAGATTTTTAGTATATTGGTTCTATGTTTGAAATTACACTAGTATTTTTTATAAATTTTAGATGTAGGAGGTGTTTTTTGCAACTTCTAAAAGTTTTAGTTTATTTTTGTAAATTCTAAAATTTTCAAGGGGCTGTTTGTAATCATAGATTTTCAATTTACTACGTAGGTTTGAAATTTTTAGGATTTTCTTTAAGTTTCAAATTTTGGGCATGTTTTTTGCACCTTTTAAATGTTTTAGTGTTTGGTGGAAATTTTGTAGTAAAAAAAAATTGAAAGAAATATATTTGATTTGTATTCTCTCAATCTTAATTATAATTTGGATTTTCGATTACAAAAGAGAAAAGAATCGACAGAGATCCTCCCCTTTGTTTAATTCTTGGTTCTTCACGGTGGTGATGGAGTGCCTCACTCGAATGCTCGCGTCGAGTTTGCTCTCCGTTGACGATCCGAACGTCTTGATTCACTGGAATGATATCTTCTCATCACGATTAGACGTTGTGAAAAACTTACAAAGCAAGTTTTAGAACTTTGAACGAGTTTGAAACTCTATGAAAGAGTTGATTTAACCGAAATCAGTTTATAAGCCAAGGATGAAGAAAGCTCCTGTTGTCGATCTCTAAAGTTCTAGCAATCCCCCCCCAAAGCCAACGATCTCTTCTTTGCTGCCGAGTTGAAGGACCGAAGGATGAAGGACCGAAGGATCAATTTGAGAGCCGATCTCTAGATCTCCAAGATACTCCAATATCCAAATATCCGAACTCAGTTGAGTTTACTCCTATCTATAGGGGATTAAGGGGTGTAGCCGCCCCCTTAATTCACTCCTAAGTAGGGCTGAATGAGGTGTAACCGTCCCCTTAAACTGCTCCCCAAATCGTGGGGAAAGCGGTTTTGAAACCGTTCAGTTTGTGCTTTGAATAAGTCAAATGCTAAAAAATAGTTCAGGGCCCAAACTCTGCGTTTTAGACTTAAAACGCAGAGTTGGGCCTATTTTGGTGGCTGAACGCACAGGTCGCGCTGCGTTGTAAATCTGAAAAGCAGAGTTGGGATGCAGAGATGAACTCTGCGTTTTGAGTCCACGAACTCTACGGTTTTTAATTGGAGCGCTGGAGATGACCTCTGTGTTTTGACTCTGAAACGTGAGCATGACATCTGCGTTTTGATGTTGAAACACAGGGATGGCCTCTGCGTTTTGATGTTGTAACACACTGCGTTTTGATGTTGTAACACATGGATGACCTTTGCGTTTTGATGGTGATACGCAGGGATGACCTTTACGTTTTGATGTGAAGAGACCATCAATTTGTGGTCTCTTTTACTGGAGTGTTACAAAGACCGTCATCTTGTAATCTTCATCTTGGCTTCTTAAAAATATAAGAGTCGTCAATTGTAACTCCCGATGTTAATTGTGAAGGCTGTTGAACTAGAGCTTTCATCGGTTGTTGTAAAGGTCGTCAGATTGTAACATTCATCGATCTACGCGAAGATCTTCAAATTATAGCCTTTTGGAAGTCGTCAGATTATAACTTCCATCATTCGTGTTTGATGGGGGGTCATCTATCTGCAGTGATTTTTAGAGAACCTACATTTAGGGTATTTTTTTTACAGATTTTAAAATTTATAGGGAGTTGATTGTAATTTTTAGGTTTTTTATGTTCTGTATTGGGCGTGAACTTTCAAATTTTTAGGCCTTTTTTCATAACTTTCAAAATTTTAGGTCTTTTTTGCAATTTTAAAAGTTTTGGGATTATTCTGCAGCTCCCAAAAATTTTAGGGTGCTGTTTATGAGGTTTAAAATTTTAGTGTTATTTGTATGCTATGAATTTTGAGGGTGTTTTTGTAACTTTTTTTTGAATATTTTCTGTTGAGAATGGAAGAGATATGTTTGAGATTAAATTTTATCATTGCTGAAAGAAATGTTCAACGTTCTTCTAGGGTTTTATTACCATGTTAGAGTTTTTCCCTAATTTCTTTAACCTCAAACCAAATGGGCCCTTAATTGTAAAATAGTGACACTTTAATACCCTAAGTTATAAAAAACTTGCACGTTAGTACTTCTCAGTTAATATGTGGAAATATTTTTAGAAATATTCCCATGTGATTATCACATGATAGTTTTATAGTTGTCTTGATCCTATTTGTTGTCATGTTTACCGCTATACCTACCATCCATATTTTTATTAAATTTTTATGGAGGAGTATTTTTATCATAACAAATTCTTTTACCGTTGTTTATCATATTCTAACGGTATGTAACTTAGGATATTTATGTGATAGTTTTTTTTACAATTTAAGTTATTAAAGTGTAAAAATAGTGAAACAATAGGGTATTAACTACCATTTAGCCTAAGATCAATGACTTTCAAGTTAGGTCTAAGCACTTGCTTGAATTGAGGGTAATGAGAGGTAAGAGAAGATAGGGGACATATTAACCTTGTTCAGAAATTCATTTGAGGTAGATAATGAGGGGGACGGTACAGACGTACAGTAATTGAGGCTGTGAAAATTTTGAGATTTTGTCCCCCCCCCCCCCCCCTAAATTGGGGTGTAAACCGTTGTAATGAAATGAAGGGAGCTCTTAAAAAAAATTACACAGAGACACAACTTTACCCTTGTACCAAGACGATATCCAGATAGATGAAATAACATGTAAGGTTATTCATATAAATTTACATATCTTTCTTCACATTCCCTTCATTAGATTAAACTTTTTAAATGGGGTTAAATAAGTTCTCCTTTCTAAATTGCCGAACAAGTCCTGTATAACTTCTTTTAACTTAACTTATCGTATATGTGCCTAACTTTCTTTCAGTACTAGAGTCAAATCCAAACCGAGACTAAGGCTCTGTTTGGTTTGAGAGAAAGGGAGAGAAAAGAAAAAGAAAGAGAAAGTAAAAAGAAAGGAAAAGAAAAAGAAAAGAAAATGATATGCTTTTTATTGTTTGGTTAGAAAGAATATTGTAAGGAAAGTTAGAAGAATATTCATAAGAAAGTCATTTTCTCTTGTTTGGTTACCTTTCTGAGAAAAAGAGGAAGAAAATTATCACAACATAATTTTAATTCATACTTTTTAGATTTAGATTTAGATTTTAAATAGTTCACAAAAAATAATTAACATGCAGAAGCACAACCACAATTCCACTAATTAAAGAACAACATTTCTCACACATAATATTAACAAGCAGAAGCACAACCACAATTCCACTAATTAAAAATAATATTTCCCACACACAAGATTTGCAGAAAGAAAGGTCAATAAAAGAACCAAAACAAATCTAAAGTAAATATCATGATAATCCTAATATAAAGTATAATCAATTTCATATAGAAAATCTTAACTAACAAAGTCTATTACAATCAATTTCATATAGAAGATCTTAACCAACAAAGTCTATTACAATCAATTTCATATAGAGTATCTTAACCAAAGAGAGAGAAAAATATGTCGAAGTCCTTGGTTTTTGACTTTAGTGAGCCCATCAAAACATCAATCTCGCATCCTTCATCCCCTGAAATTAATTCAAAAAAATTCAAATAAGTAGAATATAAACATCAAAAACCTATAAAATGAAGTCTTAAGATTCTTTTAGAAGCAAAATGAAACTACCACGCGTCGTATCATGGTTCTTTTCGTAAGACTAATCATCAGAAATGATGGAAGTGACTAATCATTGTAATGTTAAGTTTGTCCTAAAAACATGTGGCTTTGTATTCTAATCTTGTGAAATTTACTGAATACTTCCATATGGACAGATCACTTGAAGGCATGCTTATTGTAAATCTGTATATAAATCAGTATGGGAGAAAAGAATTTCAAAGCAATAAACTCAGAACTAGAAAAAATTTCACACACACACAAAAAGAAAAGATGCATATATTGGTGATATAAGTAACTTTGTACGTGGAACAGACTTCAATGATAACATTCAGAAAGTTGTTCTCCAGGGAGAGAACAGAATGCATTATAGAACACATGACTGGTATGAATTGTTGACATACTCAAACTTATAAATTTGTAATACCTGTTTAAATATGGTACTGGTTCCTGATCCATCATATCCAACCAACAAGAACTTTTGAAGCATTCTTTGCTAAAAAAAATGGAAATGCTCCATTAAGCATGTTATTCACTTCTTCACCGGAGGGATTTTCACCCTTACAAGGAACTGGCAGTGACAGAAAAGAGCATAGAAGCTTGGTTCTAGCACCGGAGGGATTTTCACCCTTACAAGGAACTGGCAGTGACAGAAAAGAGCATAGAAGCTTGGTTCTAGCCTGTTCAAACAAATAGATCAGAAAATTTTACCTCAACTTAATCGAAAAATTAAAGAAACACGGTAATTTATTAAAAGCATGACCATGAAATTACCTTGTCCCATAACTTCCCCTTTACATTTTTCTGTCCCTCCTCCCGTTATGATCCATCAGCATCCACCCAGAAGTGAGGACTTCCAGCACATTTGACTCCTGCCCACTGGGATACAACCACATCTATCAGGATTGCAGGAGCTGGCATCGGTAAATGTAAATACATTATGTTTAGATTGCATCTGCAGCTCAACTTTTGTTATCTCACGATTATTTATCATGACACCAGTATTCCCATTGCTTGCGTTTTGCATCAGACAACCTCCCACATTGAGGTTTACAGTAATTATCTTGTCAGGTTTATGCGCTTCCTGTCAATGTGAGAAAAACAATCATTCCCACAAATTATCAAGCTCAGAACCTTCATAATCCTTATCATGTATGAGACATTACATTCTGGAAGCTAGAATCGATGTTAAGCTACTCATCCAAATTTTTACTTATTTTGTGGGGAGTTCACAACATCAAAGTAACTGAACAATATTGTGGCCATAAATTAATTTCCTGTAAGACTGCATTGCCAACATATTTCTTATTGTGCATCATATTTGTTCAAATGTTAAATTAAAAACTTACATCTGCAGTAAGAACAAATAAAATTCTCACCTTTCCCCAAAATCCCGACACCTTGTCGTACCCAGAATGTAATGTCCCCAAAATTTGTATGCTAAATAGGATATGTAAGTGACAGTGTAAATTGACTTGTGTTCTCAACAGGCTAAAGAATTGATGAGAGGTACAAAAGTGTTCAACATACCCATGTTCAGGAAAAACAGTCTTCTGCAACTTTGATGTGGATGAAGATGCCTGCATCAGACATATGAAATAAATATTCAAAAATTAAGTTAACTACACAAGAACCCAAATTCAAATAAAACTACCAACATGAAAATCTCTGATGGGCATCGTTGACCAAGAGTATGCTCATAAAGGTGCCAACATCGTAGAAAATCAAAGGAAAAGAAATATCCATCGAGATAAATTATGAAGCCATCGTACGTGGTCTCGGATGATATATTGAATGGAATATTGTAAACAAAGGAAAATTGAAGATTAAAATCTGAAAATGCACATCTTTATGTCAAACCAAAAGACAAAGGCATGTCTTTTTGCATTAATTGAGAAACTGCAAGGAACGAGTACATAATCTATTTATGTATGAATTTCGTTCAAGAATGATATGTGCAATTTGTGATATTACAGTATCATGTACATAATCTATTTATGTATGAATTTCGTTCAAGAATGATATGTGCAATTTGTGATATTACAGTATCATTTGTAAAATTTGAGAACTTATGTGCAATTTGTGATATTACAGTATCATTTGTAAAATTTGAGAACTTAAAATTAAGTAATATTAGGGCTTTGGAGCATTATACCTAGCTTCTAGAGAGTCCGGTTTCTCAAAAAAAATAAAATTTGGAGCAAATTGAAATGGAATTGATTAACAATCTAATAACCAATCAAACATCATAATCAATCAGACTCAACCTAATACCATAAATTCAATATAATCTTCCAATTTTGCACTTTAACTTGAAAACTACAGAAGTTACAAGATTTCACAAAAAATTAAAAGAGTGCATGATATGGTTCATAAAACAATTAAGAACAATAAATAGCAAAAATGAAATGCAAAAATATCAAGTTTTGATTAAAAAAGTCTAAGGAGCATTTCATCAAACACTTGGAAAGTAAAACCTAATTGAAGATCATGTGGGCGGATTTTGATACCTTTCAAGTGTTGGTGAACTCGACAATGGCTTGGCTTCCCCTCTTAGATCAAAATAGACCTCTGATTTTTCTAAAAAAGGTAAAAATTGATGAAAGGTAGAGAGAGATTAGGGTTACCTCGATGAGTTTTAGGAGGCGGCGGCAACGGTGGTGGCGCGGTGGGATGCCGGCAGCGGGGATGAAGGAGATCCGAGAGAGGTCGAGGGAGAGAGATCCGAGAGAATGACGAGACTACGAGAGAGAGCTCAAGGATATTTGAGATCGAGAGAGAGAGAGAGAGAGAGAGAGAGAGGATGGAGTCGCGATGGAGTCGGGAATTTTGAAGGAGGCATCGACCGGGATTTTCTCTCCCTCTCTCTCATTTTCACGCCGATCAAGTGAGGAAAGGGGAAAAGAACTGGGTATATGGGTGTTTTTCTGCAGTGATTTTAAGATTCATTTTCTTTCTTGTTTTCTTCCAAACCAAACAAAGAAAAATTACTTTCTTCTGCACTTTCTTTTCCTTTCTTCTATTTCCCTTTAAACCAAACAGAGCCTAAGTGTCTTGGAGGTTCAATTGTAAGTACTATGCGTTTTATCGGTTGGTGGAATCCCGAAGCTGAACATTGGCATTTTCCTATAACTTAAACAAAGCCGTTTTATTGAGCCTTATATTTGGACTTGGGCCTTTATTATTCACCACACGGTATTTGGGTGTGAAAGGTCAAAGCCCACTTCTACCCGTCCTAGAAGCTTTATAGTGATGAATACGTTTAGATATTGGTTGCACTCGCAATTGTGGCCATTTTGAGTAAAAAATCTATTAACAATCCTATCACATGAGATGATCTATATCATTTATGGATAGTTAGATGGTTAATTTGAGAATTATAATTAACCTATATATGGTATAAACTTCCCCTACTTCTATGAGGGTGGTTTTGATCGCATTACTGTAATTTGGTCCGTTTCCCTAGGGGGACACATGTTTCCTAGTGAGTGATGTAGGCGTGCATGTGGGGAGTTGGAGCATATTTGGCAGCCTTTGAATTATAATCCACTTGGATTATAATCCATAGTGTTTAGTATGTTTAGGGGATTATAATCCACACCCAGAAGAATGAAGCGGCCTACCTATGAGCTATCACAGGCTCAATATCATAATAGAGAAGTCGATGTTGAAGAGTCTTCCACTCTTGGAGATTTAAGAAGACACTATGTGCGAAGGCTGTTAATATACTAAGGCGCATCAATTACCGTACCAGCAGTCACAATTCATAGCAAATGAACTTTAAGAGCCCGTCCACTTAGATGTATTGTGCCAAGTGAAGTAGGAGTCAATCGATGGCATGCAACACATAATCACTTTTATCGATGATTACTCGATGTATGTCTGGATTTATTTCATGAAGGAAAAGTCTAAAGTGTTCTCTAAATTTAAACAATTCCAAGAATAAGTCGAATGAGAACTTGGCAAAAAGATTCATTGTCTACTCACAATTTACGGAGAAGAATATACATCAAAGGAGTTATACAATCATCTGAAACAACACAAGATTTGACAATAACTAGAGTGTCCAAGTACTTCATAACGGAACGACATTGCAAAAAGGAAGAATTGACACCTTGCTAAAATTTGCAGAAGCAAGGCTTCATGATAAGAACATGCTAGGACATTTTAGGGAGTGTATGAAGACTGTAGTGCATGTGATTAGTTGACTGCCACATTTACACCAAAATTAGAGTTCTAGTCACTAGTCTAAAAGCTGTGGAATATCAAGCTAGCATTAAGTTAATACAAAGTTTTTGATTGCGTTTGTTATGTCTTTGTACCTGGCCACATATGCAACAGGTTTAATAAAAAAAGGCATAAGGTGCTTTTTGGGATAAGGTGCCTTTTGTTGTATGAAAACAAAAGAAAAGAACGGAGATGTTGTGATCTCATAATTACACGGTGCTATATGTCAAGGAATGTAGTGTTTGATGAAGTCTCATCTTGGTAGGCTCCATAAGAAGTTGTGATCCCACACTCTAATGATCTAGATGATCAGTTACAAGAGAAGCCAGGGGAGTCAATAAGAAATTTTAAATTACTGATATATGGAACCATCACAACATTCGAAAGATGTATGATCTTTTAAAACCTACTCTAAAATCCACACAATTAAATCTACTATATTTTACCAATATACAGACATGTTATTGCACCTTTAAGGTAAAGATAACTATCATTTATAATAGAGTTGAGTTATGGTTCTACGCTTACAAAGGCTGTAACAAGAAGATGGATAAAGAAGTTAATAACGAGTGTCCAAATGATAAATATCACATAATCACAAATGACTTGGTACCATGGTTAAGTAATATCCCTTTTTTATGAAATAAACATATCAATCTTAAATATTAACATTATAATCTAAGGCAAATTGACAATAAAAAAATGTAGATATTTAGTTCAGATCCTCTTAGAAAATGACACAAATAGAGCAAATGTAACATTATTTAATGATGTAAAAACTCTTATCGGATGCACTACATAAGAATTCGTTGCGAAGAAAAAAGGTAATTTCTAATTTTATTTAAAGTAATAAATTAGAAACTCATAAAATTTCATATATATGAAATTAACATTTATCCTCGTTGAAAAAAATAAAAAATAAAATTAAGTTTGCATTCCAGAAGTTTGACTTGACCATCAGAAATACATTCAACTCCTTTGTAAAGTTAGACAAAGATAAACGAGCCAATGGGAAGATAACGACACAAGAATCCAGCTCCATCATGATGTCACAATTGATGTAGGCGATGGAGAGACTACTCTAAAATTGCCCAAAAAAAGATAAAGGTGGAGAATGATTGATTTCTGCTCAATAAAAAATAAAACAGAAGGAATAAAATAAAATAATTTCTAAATATTTATAGAATAGTTAAAATTTTTAAGTAAAATTAGGATTCTTTAGATGAAATTTTCATATTTTAATATTTTTATATGCTTATGTGAGTGCTTTTATCATATAAAAGTATACTAGAGTTATCATTAATATTTAATTTATAGTATTTTATAAAATCTATTAATGATTAGGAACAAAATTCATATTCTCTTTTGTGTCATTTTATCGCACTTTTAATCAATCATCTTGACTTATATTGCCATTTTATGGTATTTTTCACTTTTTCAACACTATACTTTGCCAGTTCAAACTTGGTTTCGTATTGATCCAAATAATACAAAAATTTAAATTGGTTTCAAATTAAATTTATTCCATGTTAATCTAATTATCAACATGAAAATTTAAATTATATGTAGAAAATTTAAATTGTGTGTAGTGCATTCAGACAAACATTAAAGAAAATAAATAGTCACAATGCTAGAATTTAGAGACAAAAGTGAGCAAACACTATCAAAGTAGAACCGAAGAACAAATTTAATTAATAAGAAAATAAGCTAAAAATACTTGATCATGATATTTACCACGTGCATTGCACGTGCATAAAACCTTGTGTGTGTGGGGCACACATCCTCGTTTCTAGTTCCAATATAGACAACAATCTGTTCTGTAAGGAGATTTTAAATCTAAACCATTGAGATATTGAAAAGATTACAAAGTTCCAACTAATGGTTTTATGTCTAAATCATAGTTATTAGCTAGCTAGTCAGGCAGATACAAAGAACTATATACGTATGAGTGGGAGCGCATCTTTGTTATTGGATCTGAGATGCAAGTGTAGGGGAGGGATGTTAAATAAGTTTACTATAGTTTTTCGCTAAAATATAGAATATCCAATAGAAATATAGAAAAATAAAAATGAACAATCAAACCAAAAAACAACTAAGTAACACGCGAAATTTTTATAGTGGTTTGAATAACAATCTTACGTTCATTCTTTCTTCTTACGAATGTGCTTTCTCGCTATAATCTAAGTTCACCTAAATCATAACTCAATTCAATAGACTTACAAAGAAAAGCACTCTGAAATCTACTCGAAACCAGCCATCTAACTTAACATCTCACTGATGAGTAACACCTAGCCCTAGATAGTCCTAACCCTCAATTATCATTGGCTTGAGTACATCATAAATCCTAGATTAATACTAGCTTGAGTACGCCGTGAACCTTCAATTAACACTAGCTTGAGTGCGTTGTAAAAGTAAATTTGAAACAAACTACCAAAAATAGTTTAAGCACAAAAACAAAAAGATCTTACAATCCTTTTGATAAGCAAACCGTTTTTCAAAAGATTGCAGTGAAGCTCGATGAAGAACAATCTAGATATAAATTGAAAGGGCAACTCCTCTAGCTAAGATGACCTGATACTGTTGAGTGGTTCAAATCACAATTCAATTTTCTTCACAAACCCTAGAATAATCTCTCTCTTTATTCTCTCCAAAAGCTCTCCTTTTTTCAAACCATAGGATATCTTTAAAATATGATCTCTACCTATCTTATATAGCCTCTGATGAATAAGAAAAAAAATATTCTCTATTTATATTTACACTTCATTTTCATCCAACTAAATAGCCTCTATATATAATTGAAAAGCCCAAATCCAGAAAAAATTAAGATTGTATCAAGTCAAGTACTTTGCTTTGGATTTAACATCCATGAGACACACATGTTGATTATGCAAACACTTAAACCATGGTGGTGTACAATAGCGAGGGTAGAAATTTTAATGGGTGGGGTGGGGGAGCAAGAATCCATGATACATAATTGTTTCATAAAATAGTTTTTATATTAGTTCCTCAAATTTTAAAATATTTTAAATGGGTCCTCAATCTCAAAATTGCTATTAGGCTTTCTAATTCGTAAGGTATTTGCAACGTAGTCCCTCAAATCATTGACATTGCCATTAAATCTCTAGTTCTCATGATTAACTTGAAACAATTCATAAGAATTGGAGGACTTTTTTAGAGAAATAATTAATGGAGGGCTTAATAGCAATTTCAATGATTTGATGGACTAACTTTAGAATTGTATAAAGAATTTGGAGGGAGCTAACAGCTATATTGATGATGACTGAAGGAGTAATTTTAGAATAGTAAATATTTAAGGCCTTGAGGGACAAATATGAACAAAGACCTATAAAAAAACTAATAAAATTTTTGGGGGCCAACAACCCCCACGCCCCCCCCACCACCCAACCCAACATTCGTATGTGGCTCCGCCACTAGTTAGTGTAATGAAGGTTATTAATATTTAAACGATGGTGGTGGATCAAGCATCATCTCTCTTTCT